CAAGCATTTAATTCTAGATAGAAGGTTAAGGGTTGAAATCATTTTTGAAAGAAAGCAAGAAAAAATAAATGATACAAAACAAGAAAATTCAAGAGCTAAATTTTTGGAAAAGAAAGGACTAAAGTTGTTGAACTAGAGGTAACGGAAGAAACTTAATAAGTAATATTAAAGAAAGGCTAAAAATAATCTAACCTCTTTACGGTTGGCTAGTAGAGACCCCTCAATACAAGCATTGATCCATTCAAGCTCTGCTCTTGCATCGCGTTCCATGAGTTGCCATATCAGACTAATTTCCAAGGCTCGGCCTCGTTCCTGAACGTAGCCAGACAACTCGCGTCCAAGACGGTCGCGAAGCAATACAACCGCTGCGCGGCACATCAATTGGCCGGCGAAATGACTTGTTCGTTTGGCCTCCCGTGCTTCGGTGAGCAGAAGTTTTGCCGGCCCCGCTAAGAGTTCGGTCAGCTCAGCTTCAAATTCCTATGGATTGAGGTTAAAATAAAGTGAGGCTAAAGAAAGAGGGCTAATGTAAGTACGAGTATAGTCTGTAAATTTATACCTTCGTGTCTTCCTTGTTTAAAAGATTCATCCTTGTCGTATGGTGTTATAGTGATTGATAATAATTATAAAAAAGATGAAAAGGAGAAAAGGCTTGATTTTAGTTTAAATAAAAGAATGTCCCGGCTTTAGAACCTCAGGGAGCAGAACAGAAATATAGCCATTCCTAGGACATCATGCTATCTAGTACCACATGGCAATCACGAAGTGATGAAGCAAACAGATGCATGATCCACTCTACAAGTAATTGCTTAGTCGTTATAGGCCAAGCTTAAGTGCTCAAAAAGGAAGGTCTATTCCATCGCCTAGACAACATTCGAGCCAGTTTAGAGGATAGATAACTCGCGTGATATTTGCCGAAGCAAAACGGTTGATGACCAAGACAGACAACTTGCATTAGGTTCCATGAAGGCAAATAAATCAATCACATTTCCAGATCCTAGAGTCCCAATAGTTGAAAGAAAAAAGGCTGAATAAGGGATCAGCCACAATCACCCCCCCCGAACTAGCTCTACGAAGTCTCTATTGAGTGTTAAGTACTAAGGGAGAATCTCTTTGCAAGCCGATTTACGTACGTAACGGAAATAAGGAAACTCTTCCTGTTGATATTCATATTCGTAGAGTTACTGGAGGGCAAGCAGCCAGAAAATAAGCAAAGACTGCTAAAAAGATGGTGTCAGATATAATCAAAAGGGGATGTACATTGCGAAATAAATGAAGAGACCTCTCAAGAACTCAGTTGGGCTGGCATAAGATAATAAATAAGAATTGTGCGACAAAGATAAGGTGCGCTAATTAGAGTCCCTTAAATCTTC